TTTGATGAACCTACAAGTGTACCTCCAATATCTAAGGCTAGAGAATGATGCTAATTTGCCTATCCAGGCAAATGAATGAAATGACAGTTAAAAGAATGAGACAGCAGACCAAAACAAGGTTCTTCAAGAAAAAAATATATATATTTAGAAGATAGTGCTGGATCTGTTCTACCTAATGTATGCAGAAAGGAGTTTTTTTATAAGGCTTGGTAGTCAGGAGGCTTGGCTACTAGCTCTAATGCTCTGCCACTTATCACTGTATTATCTTGTCTGTGTCAGTCCCCTTTCCTGGGCCTGAGTTTCTTCATTTGTAATAAGAGAGGGTTATACTATAGTAGCTACTTTTAAACATTTTTGGCCACAACCTACAGTAAGAAATACATTCTATGTTATAAGTCAGTATACTCATGTACGTCTCACCAAATCTGACACAAAAAATTTTACGAAGCAATTCTTATCCTTACTATCGGCGATGCACTCTAATATTTTATGTTCTATTATTTTACATATTTGTAATTGCTAATTGTGACCCAATAAATTGATATCTTAATCTCATTAATGCTTCACAATCCACAGTTTCAAGGAGACTGAACTAATGGGTATCTAATGGCTCTCTACAGTTCTAGCATTATATGATTTTTTGTTAGGCCTTTATCTTCTGTTTAGAATAATAATAACAATAGCTAGCAATTCTTGAACTTTTACTATTTGTCAAGCACTGCTTTAAGCACCTTACCCATATAAACTAACTGAATTTTTCATTAGCCATGGCTACTTTTATTTTTTTATTTATTTTTTATTTTTTTTATTTTTATTTTTTGAGTTGGAGTCTCACTCTGTCGCCCAGACTGGAGTGCAGTAGCTGCTCCCAGCCACCGCAGCCTCAACCTGCTGGGCTCCGGCGATCCTTCAGCCTCAGCCTTCCAAGTAGCCGGAATTACAGGCATGCGCTACCACGCTCAGCTGATTTTTTGATTTATTGTAGAGATGAGGTCTCGCCAAGTTGCCCAGGCGGGTCTCAAACCCGTGGACTCAGGCAATCCACTCACCTCAGCCTCCCACAGGCGCGGGATTACAGGCTGAGCCACCGAGCCTGGCAGCCATGGCTACTTTTATTAGTTCAATATTAAAGATGAGGAAAAGCAATGTGGCTTATATCTGTAACAAATTTAGTGGACTACCAAATTAAATTTCATTATATATTTAAAATGTTTTGAATATCTTAGAATAGTCCCATGTTATAAAATATTGTGTTGCCAGCCCACAGAATGGAAAAAAATATTTGCCAACTCTATGTCTGACGAAAGCAGATCTAGGATCTACAAGGAACTGAAATATGCCAAAAAGAAAAAAAAACAAACAGCCCCATTACAAAGTGTGAAAAAGATATGAATAGATACTTTTCAAAAGGAGACATATGAACAGCCAACAGATACATGAAAAAATGCTCAGCCTCACTAGTCATCAAAGAAATGCAAATTAAAACTATACTGAGATACCACCTAACTCCTGTCAGGAAGGCCATCATCAATAACTCAAAAAGCAACAGATGCTGGAGAGGATGTGAGGAAAAGGGAACACTTCCACACTGTTGGTGGGCGTGTAAACTAGTGCAACCTCTGGAAAATAGCTTGGCATTTCCTAAAAGGTCTAAAAATCTACCTTTCATACAACCCCACAATCCTCCTACTGAGAATATACCCGGAGGAACTCAGGTCACTCTATGAAAAGGATACCTACACATGTATGTTTATTGCAGCATTGTTCACAATAGCAAAAGCATGTAACCAACTGTGCTGCTCATTGAAAGAGGACTGGATTAAAAAAATGTGGTGCATATACACAATGGAATATTACACAGCCATAAAGAAGGACAACATTATGAACTTCACAGCAACTTGGATGGACTTGGAGTCTGTAATACCGAGTGATTTATCACAGAAACAACTGAGTACCACATGTTCTCATTCGTAAGTGGACCTTGAACAATTATTGTAATACTATTAGGAAAAGATTGTCAGTAGTGAGAAATTGCTGGGGGGGGCCAGGGGTGCAGGATTGTCAATAGTGGGATTCTGCTGGGGGGGCACACCTCATCAACAAGGGTATCTGCATAATGAACATTTGTATACTTAACCCTGAATTGTACCCCACATCCTTAAAATTAAATTTTTTTTTAAATTGTCTTGCTTGCTTTTACCGTTTTAAGCTCTAGAGGGCATTATAATAAACCTTCCAGATCTGCGGGCAGAAAAAGATCAATAATCTAAATAATATGCATTACTGGGTTTGAAAGTCATTTCCCTTGTGTAATCTAGTATAGTTAAGTTGACCCGAAAACAGGTCTTAGTAATACAACATCAGGAAGCACTCATACTTCTGTAGATGTGACCACTACTCAAGTAGACATCTTAATTCTTGGGGAAATGCACATTACCAGTAGATTATCAAGAGAAAAACACAAAAGTTTCCAAATGCGTGCTCATAGTCATCATACATCTTTATTGATAGTGTAAAAATAGGCATGAGTGCTATTTCTTCCCAATTCCAGTAATTATCTATTGAGCACCACTGCCAATATCCATCTTTAATGAATTAGCTAGAAGAATGTGATGATACAATACTATTACACATAAATTTCACTGAGTATATAGTTTAGGGGTTGCTGGTATAGCAGATTTGAAAAGTTCAAACATGTTATTCTTGGAAAAACAATAAAGATAGTTGATATTTAATTACCCCTACAGTAAATCCAATAAAAATATCATTTATTCATTCAACAATTAGTACTGAGCACCTACTATATGCTAAATACTGATGTTGCCACTGGAGATTCAGCAGTAAACAAAACAAACAACCTACACTCAGAGTACTTATTTTATGTTTTGTAAGTTTGAATTTTTGTATATTGCATTTTTAATTTTTTATGGAAAGCTACACTTGTATATTCCCTTTGGCAGAGAGGCAGTGGGAACTATATACTTTACTTATTTAAAATATTTTAATGTCCTTTATGCATAGCAGTAGTGAAAGATCTATAGGAAACAAAAAAGAACAAATAAATTTCTGCTCTCAAAAAATTTATGATTTAGTCCAAGTGCGGTGGCTCACACCTGTAATCCCAGCACTTTGGAAGACGAGGCAGAAACACAGTATGAGGTCAAGAGTTCAAGATCAGGCTGAGCAACATAGTGAGACCACCATCACTACAAAAAAAAAAAGTTTACCATCTAGCTAAATCAGATCATAATAAGATGTTCCCAAGCAACGCCCCCACCCCCAAGGAACATTTGGCAATGCCTGGAGATATTTTTGGTTATCACAACTGGAGGGGTAGGTGCTTACAGGTATCTAGTAGGTTGAGGCCGGGAATGCTGGTAAACATCATACAGTGCACAAGATAGTCTCACAACAAATAATTTCCTGACCCAAAATATCAAGGGTGCCAAGCCTTTAACTCTGAGTCAAAGAGTCAGGACGTACACATTGAAAGGTTTTTTTTTTTTAATTGCATAGTACTAGATAACAAACATTAAGTGAGTGATATAGAGAAGAGAAAGATTATACATCTAGCCTGAAGTGGTTAGGGGAGGAAGTGAAGGAAGTGGGGCTCACACAGAAGTGTCATGTCACTCCTCTGCTCATAACAGAAGAAACCCTGCTACCTTTCTGACCTCATCTCTTACCATTCTCCCCCTCGCCCCTCCACTGCAGTGGACTGGCTTTTGCCTTTCTTCAAAAATGTCAAATATGCTTCTGCATCATAGAATCTGCTCTTGCTGTTCCCTCTTATTTAAATGCCATTCCCCCAAATATCCACACAGTTCCCTTCTTCACTTTCTGCACCTCTCTGTTCTGTTCAATCTCTTGCTTAGAAGAGCCTTTTCCTCAACGTACTCTTTATGAAATATTAACTCCTCTCCCTTTCCCCTTACTAGGTTTTTTGGTTCTCCATAGCAAGACTATATCTGGCCCAGACCAGACCACGTAAGAAATGTGTATATAATGAATAAATTAGCTAAGTATAAATAATGGCAGTGTTCTTTAGGCCAAGCAATGAGAAGAAACTTGACTAAAGAACTGTTACTACAGTTATTCCCAGTGGCCTAAAACAGTACCTATCTCATAGTAGGGACTTCATAAATAATGAATAAAAAAATAATAAAAGAGGACCAAGTCGAATTAATGTAAACAAAATTAACCCATAACCATTTTTAAAAGTATTCTTAGGACATTTACTACCTTCTATGTGTACTGGCATATCTAAGTACAGCTAATAAGAATTTTACCCTTAACTTTTACTATTCTTATCAGCTTTTTCACTTTACATCTATTCCTGAAGTATACCTTTAATAAAGAGACACAGTTTCTGAAATTCGATATCACAGCTCTATGTTAAGCCAGGTGTCATGTAAAAATACGTGCATTTTATGAAGTCTGATTTAAAGGCAGCTCTTTGCCAGGCCAATTCTACAATTTTCTATTTCATTTGCACTTAATCATTAATTCACCCACCCTGCACTCAGGGAGCCATAATGGACAATTATGCTAATACTAATCACAGAGGCAGAGACTGTTTCTACTTTATGAGCTAGGTACTGTCCTGGAGGCTGTGAATGTATTATCTGGTTTCGTTCATACTACCAGAAACCCATGTTATCATCTTAGTGTATATTCACCAACTCTAAATTACTTTCTGTAGCTGATCCAAGGTGCAAACAAACCCCCAAACCCCTAAGTTATACTCTCTGCATCCCGCTTTCTGCCACTTTCGCTTACCAGCGCTCCTCCCCCTCCCTCTTTGACAACCATGACGACCACCGCTTTCCCGCTGCTGTCCCTCCCCTGCGATCCCTCCCAAAGGCTACAATCCCGCGAGCTCGAGGTCGGACGGCCTGCTACGTAAGTCGCGCGTGCAACTGCCTAGTAACAGCGCCTGGGAGTCTGGAGTGTGCCAAGAGAGGGGCGGGGCGGGAGAGCTGGCGCGCGCACGCGTAACCTCTTTGGAGCTTCGCTGTGGGGCGGAGTCTTGCCAGACCGCAGAGTAGCGGTTGTCGCTAAAGCGCGCGGTTTTACTTCTCTCAGCTTTGGACGGGGCAAACTAGCTTTTCGGAGCGAAGAGGGTACACGATTATTCAACAATGTCTGGTGAGTCAGACCAGCCTCAGGCTGGTCCCTCACATGCTGGACTAGATTGGCCAAATCTTGAGAGAGATCGGGCTGGGGTCCCGGGAGGGGTGATTCGAAGGGCTGGTGCCCAAGAGCCCAGGTCCTGGATCCAAAAGGTTCTTGAGCAAATAACGGACTCACCTCGCCAGTGGGTCACCCCCTCGGAGGTAGTGCCCGTCACTGTGCTGGCCGTCCAAAGGTACCTGTTAGAAGATGAACCACGCGACACGGTGCCCAAGCCTCCCCTTTACTGCTATGATGTGACGATCTCAGACGGGGTGTACCAGGAGAAGTGCTACTTGGCCCCCAGCTTGAATTCTCTGGTACATCAAAATATTCTTAAAGTTGGCATAGAAATGAAAATTTCCAGAGTCTCGTGTCTTTACAATGAGAGAAGGCTAGGCCAGGGGATCCTATGCATAGATAACGTCCACTGTGGGGAGACCTTGGATACAATCTCTTTAGAAACTCCCTTCAGGAATAGAGCGCATGAAGAAAAACCAGAGAGGCCTTTAAGGGGCGGGAAAAGTCATTACCTGGCGCTTTGGAATAACGAAGATCCGTATGGAGATATCTGGCTAACAGACAAGCAACCCGAGGAACACGATTTTAACGGTAAGTACTTGGAAGGAACGAAAGTGGGTATCTTAAAATCGTTTTCAGGAGCTTGCATTAGCAGGAAAGGAAACGAAGATGCTTTTGTATTGCTAATTACAAGCCAGGAGTGGTAGTAGGCAAGTTTTCTTGAATGACTGCACTCTTAATGAAATTTGCACAGCCCGTGCCTTGGGTTGATTGCAAAAGTGGTCAATTTCGGAAGTGTCTGACTACGTCTTAAATTCAGTCTGGCAGATGTACTGATATGGAAGTCAGTATTCCCGATGCGTTCATTATACGTTTGACTACAGTGAAATTAGTCTTAGTTTTCATTCCCATTCCAGGTGTGGAAATAGTACGTTGTGTCGGTTGACGAGTGTATAGATTTGAGTTCAACATAAAGGTTATAAAAATTTGCAGCTTTGCATGTTTTAACTTTCGTTCAAAAGGGATGCACCGTGATGTATTTCTTAATAGTTTACATTGATCAAAACACCACTTTTATGTGTTTAAGTGTAACCGTTACATAAATATCACTTTTTGAATGTGTAATTACAAAAGGGAAGCCTTGAAATTCTCATTTTCATATTTCTTATTACTTAACCATGGACAGTACTGATCTGAGAAGTTCCATTTCTCTGTATCGGAAATAAGAAGGTAACCTAAAAATGCTAGCTTGTCATCAGCAACTGCTCTAAAATATGTGTTGGTTTTTTTAAAATAAGAGATTAAGTTAAGGGGGAAAATAGTACTACAGGCATGAAAACTTGTAGAATAGGGAAGAAATAAAATGCAAAAAGTAAAATAAAAGATAATATACTGGAAGAAAGAATATAAATTTAGTGGTTTTTCAGTCCTTTTTTATGTTGTCGTCACAATTTTAAATCATAGGCAATCTTATTACGCCGTGTAAGAGCAGCAAACTTGAAAGTAAAAAGATAACTGGCTCAAAAATTGCAATTATGCTCATATTCAGTTATAAAAAATAAGATCTTATATAAATATGTAGCCAAGGGTGTTTTAAATAACTAAATTTTAAAAGCAAAATAGTTATTTCCTGAGCAAAATAGTGCGATGATTTTATCTCAAGCATAGAGAAAGGAAGTAGGGCACTATTACTCTAAATGTTAATCATTTTTATTTTCATAATTAAATATGTAAATGAAAAATTGATGCCCTAAAATCAGAATTAAGAGGAGGATGATATTTTGTAAACGTATATTTGGTTTTGATTACAAAAGTAATTCCTAATTTATCAAAATCATATTTTTATTACAAAAAGAAATATCCATGTGCCAAAATAAAATCCAAACTGTATATTTAAAAGTATTTTGTGTTAGAAGTTTAAGAATTCACTATAGTAAAATGTTAGTGGTAAAATCTAGGAATTGGATATATTGATGTTCACTGTAAAATCCACTCAGGTTTGCTGTATGTTTCAACTTAATAATAAAATGCTTTCAAATTTCCTGTCAAAATTATAAACTGTCAGTGGTTTAGTGTGTATATTTGGAAAAAAATAAATTATAAGACATTGTGTGATTTGCTGTTTCCACTAAACATATATCTCAGGTATCTTTTATGTACACCTATACACACAATATTCCATAGTATGGTTGTGTCCTAATTTCTATAATCATATGCATGTGAGTAGTTAATTTGTAATTTTAGGTAGTGATTAGTTTTTCAGTATTAAATATCATTAGGATGTATACATATTTTTGTTCAATATGTTCAATTATTGCTGCTGAGTGGATTCCTAGAAGTGAAATTCCTGGGCTAAAGAGTATTTGAATCTTTTACTTTAGTGGATATTGACAAATCATCCTCTGAAAAGGTTGTACTAATTTACATTCACCAACATTCTTGGAGAATGCCCATTTCCCCATATCTTGCTATTTTTAAATTATATCTTTTGATTTGTTCTAATTTATAAGATTTATTTGATAATGGGTATTAAATTTTTGTCTGCTATATACTGCTAATTATTTCTCCATTCTGTTCCTTTTCTCTATGTTTATGGTATATTTTTATGCTTTTGAGATTTTTTGTTAAGGTTTACCTTATACACAGTAAAGTAAAAATGTCATAAAGCACAGCTTGATACATTTTTACATATATGTGTATATATATACACACACACACCTGTGAAACCACCACCTCCCCCTTGAAGATGTAATACAGTTCAGTTACCCCAAAAGATTCCCTCATGCCTCTGCCTGGTCAATACCCCTACTCAAAAGGTAACACATACTGTGACCTCAAAGATAGCTTTTTAAAATGAAGGTTAGATTATGCCACACTGACTTGCCTAAATCTCTCCAGTGGCTCCCCATTGCATTTAGACATCAATCCAAACTCTACTAGGGTCAAGACCCTATAGCAGAGGTCAACAAACTTTCTGTAAAGAGCCAAGCAGGACGGAGCAGAGCAAGGTGGTTCGCCTCTGTAATCCCAGCACTTTGGAAGGCCAAGGCTAAAGGATTGCTGGAGCCCAGAAGTTCAAGATCAGCCTGGTTAACATAGTGAAACCACCACCCCCTATTCCATCTCTACAAAAATAAAAAATAAAAAAAGTTAGCAGGGTAATGGTGGTGCGGGCCTGTTGTTCCAACTACTCAGGAGACTGAGGCAAAAGGATGTCTTGAGCCCAGTAGTTCCAGGCTGCAGTGAGTTATGATTGCACCATGGCACTATTATGGGCCTAGGCAAGAGAGTTATACCTGTCTCTAAACAAACAAACAAAAACACCAAACAGTAAATATCTTTGTCTTTGCAAGATATATGAGGGCCCCTCACCCAAAAAATCAAAACAATTCTGTTTTGGTTTTTTGGAGAGCGGTCCCGTTGTAGCATAGGCTTCCCCCACTACCTAAGTGTTCTAGGAACCCATCAGCATGCTGTACTAGCTAGCGTTGTTGTGAGAGGCTACATTTGACTTCAGTGATTTTTTTTTCTTAGATTATTTCAACGCATTTGCCCATTTTATGGTGGGTGATTTATGAGTGCACCTGCCCACACCATGTTCAGTGTTCTGCAGTTTTTAACCAAAAACAGCATGACCCCCATTCCCTAACCTCCCTATTCACCTGATCTCACTCCCAGCGTCTTTTTTTTTTTTTTTTTAACATTTCACGATTGAAAAATGTCCTCAAAGGGAAACATTGTGCCAATGAGGAAGAGGAGAAACAAAAAACAGCAGGAGCACTAAAAGGCATCAAAATGGACGAGTTCATAAACTGTTTTGAACAGTGGAAAAAGCATCTCGATAGGTGTATTGTACTTTTGAGCTCCACTTGGGTATGGCTATTATTTTTACCTCTGTATATTTAAGCAAATTTGGCCCATAGGCTGTGTGTGTGTGTGTGTGTGTGTGTGTGTGTGTGTGTGTGTGTGTGTGTAGGGGGAGTACTTTTCAGTGCCATTTTAATATCAGGTTAATATTAGACTCATATAATGAGTTGGGAAACTTGCCTGCTCTTCTGAATTTTAAACATGTAAGGATAAATATACCTTTTAATAAATAAATTATTGGTTTTGGGGGGTCGTCCCTCTGATTTCCATCACAACGATTCAATTTTGCCATTGTACAGAAAGCAGTCATAGACAATATGTAAATGAATGGGTCTGACTGTGTTCCAATAGAACTTTTATTTACAAAAACAGACAGCAGGCCAGATTTGGCCTATGGACCATAGTTTGCTGACCCCTGCCCTACAGAATTCCGAATTCACCTTTCTAACTTTATCTCTAAGCTCTCTCCTCCACCACTGTTCTAGCAATACTAGCCTTCATTTTGATCCTCAAACCACCTATCTTCATTTGGCCTCAAATAATTTACACCTGCTTTCTCCTGTCTCTGAAAAGTTTCTTCCCATCCTCAGGTTTCAGCTCAAATATATAAAACATTAGAAAGGGATATTTAAATACGTATTCTCCCCCCATTTATTCTTATATCATCCTGCAAATTATTTTTCTTTTCCCCCCTTCCTGTTTATAAGATCCAAGACTCTTTATCGTGCTGTAGGCCATATCCTGTAGCCAGAACAATGTTTGGCCCATAATAGTCATTTAATAAATGTTTGTAGAATAAATGAATGAATGAAATAAATGGATTTTTTTAATGTTGAACTACTTTTGAGCCCCACTTGGGTATGGCTATTATTTTTACATCTGTATATTTAAAGCGAATTTGACTCATAGGCTGTGTGTGTGTGTGTGTGTGTGTGTGTGTGTGTGTGTGTGTGTGTAGGGGGAGTAATTTTCAGTGCAGTTTTAATATCAGGTTAATATTAGACTAGTATAATGAGTTGGGAAGCTTGCCAGCTTTTCTGTACTTATAGAAATTGCATGTTCATTGAAGGTTTCGTAGAATTTACCCCAAAAACTATCTAAACCTGGGGTCTTGGACTGGAATTAGGGGGTAGCTAAAGTTACACCTTTTTGAGTTCTTGTAGAGAAAGTGATCAAAACAATAATACTTTTGCATAAGCCCATTTTTGAGGGTTGATATTTCACTAGGAAATCTCACTTCACCTGGATGTCAAGGTTGTACATAGTAACCTATATTTTTTAATCTTTCCTCTCAGTTATGCCTCCTTTAACTTTCACATTATAATATCTGTGTATTCATCTTTTTATTGTGATCAGTCTTACCAGAGGTTTGTCTGTTTTATTGTTATTTTACTTTATTTTTATTTATTTATTTTTTTTAGTTGGAGTCGCCTGCTGGGCTCCAGCGATCCTTCCGCCTCAGCCTTCCAAGTAACTGGAATTACAGGCATGCACTACCACGCCTGGCTGATTTTTTGATTTATTGTAGAGATGAGATCTCGCTGCCCAGGCGGGTCTCGAACCCGCGGGCTCAGGCAATCCACTCACCTCAGCCTCCCAAAGGCGTGGGATTACAGGCTGAGCCACCGAGCCCGGCTTGTTTTATTGTTATTTTAAAAATGACTCTAGGCTTTACTAATAACAAAATCTATAGTAGGCAGATGTTTCCTACTTAATTTCTGCTATCATCTTTAATTTATTTTCTGTGCTTTTTTGCACATATTTTTGAAAGTATATAATCAAAATAAATTGACTCACAATAAACTATTACAGCATCTGGCTTCCAATGTGATTGTTTAAATCAGTCGTATCAAATAATTTTATGGATTTGAAAGATGGTGTTTCACAAAAAGGTGTATATGCAAAGCGACCCCCAAATGCAGAAGGAGTCAGGAGACCAAAAAGGAGGTGGACAAGTCCAGCTTGTCATTATAGTGATTTAATTGGGGGATTTAATTGGACGACCACAAGACAGGTAAGATCTCCACATCACTACCCTTCAGATTCAGAGATTATATACCATAGGGAAGGCGTACATATACTTCAGGGGGAATGGGTAGGAGTTTGATCTAAGGGTAGGATTTAAGACAAGTGTGTGCTCTTACACAAGGAACAAAACATAAACTGGAAATCTCAGAGGTATTGCCAGTACCAAGATTAATTAAGTCGACATGGCAGATTCGCTTCTAAAATGGAGTTGCTTAAGCCTCCACAGATGGATAACACTAAAGGACGGCCATTGGTCTGGTGTGTAATTATTTCAAAAATGACTACAATAAATAAACAATGCAAAAGTCCCAAACTAAGATAAAATATGGATTGTGGAGCACCATCTCCAGTTTCTGATTCATTAGGTCTGGGGTAGGGTCCTAGAATTTGCATTTGTAACAAGTTCACTGAGGATAATGATGTTGCTGGTGCAAAGACTACACTTTGAGAACCACTGATCTAATATATCTTTATTTATCCCTTTATTTCCATTTTGTTTTAAATTTGTCTCTTTTAAACAGGATGTAGCTAAGATTCTGCTTTTGACCCAAACCAATTTTTTTCTTTAAAGAAATGAATGCAATTCAATTCAACTCAATAAGATTAATGATGTTTGTACCTGTTCTTGAAATCCGACTTTTTGTTTACTATATGGTATTCTATGTTTTTACTTTTGCAGGACTTTAATAAGTTATTTTTCTAGTAGTTTAGAAGATATTCATCGTATTTGTATACTCCTAGTGGTTATTCTAAGTGTTTTGACAAAATTATTTAAACTTACATGTTTGTGTCAGTCTCCAGAATTTTTCAGAATTTATAATATTCTCCTACTGAACAAGAGATGATGCTGAGGACTCTGCTTGGTCACGGTACCACGGTTTCTTTTGGCGTGCTGCTATATTAGAAAGTGTTTGATTTAAGATTTTTGCCATCATAAATGATCTTGGTTTATAGGTTTGTTTTTCTTTTGTACATTTCTGTTGGAATTTTCCAGGATTATTTTAAGTTTAAAAAGTGAATTGGTACAATGTCTATACTTTACTGGGATCTGTGACAATTTATAGCTCAGGGAAAAAGTTATTCTCTGAATTTTTTAAGAATTTTTTGTAAAACCATGTGAACCTGCTGCCATTTTTGGAGGCCATTATTTGTGAACTTTTGTCATTTTCTTCCATGGGTAAGGACCTATTTTAGTCTTCTTCTGATTCTTAAGGCAATACTGTAATTCATATTTTTAGAAGATTATCCATTTCACTGATATTTTCGTGTTTATAAATATAGAATCATACATAATAATAGTTAACAATTTTCTCTGTGTATATAGTCGATCACATTCTGAATATTACATTTTTGTTTTCTTTTTTTATAATCTAACTTGCCAAAGGCTTTCCTGTTTATTAATTTTTCCGGAGAATTGGATTTATCAATGCCACTGTCTATTATTATTATTATTATACAGTGTTTTCTAATTCATTATTTTCTGCTTTTATCTTTATTCCTTCCGCATTCCTTAGATTTAGCCTTCTGCAACGGTTTTTAAAGTATGTTCCAGAGCCCTCTAGTGGTGTTCCCAAGGCATTTTCAGGGGATTTTTGGTCAAAGCTATTTTCATAATGCTAAGGCTTTACTTATCTTTTTTCACTATCATTCTCTCACAAATGTACGGTGGAGTTTTCTCGAGGCTACATGATATGTGACATTGAAAGACACTGAGTGCCAAAGAAGATATGAGTATCCACTTGTCTTTTATTAAGCTAAATACTAAAGAGATTTACAAAAATGCAAAACAATGCCACTCTCCTCACTTCATTTGTCTTTGTTTTGGGAAATATAGCAATTTTGTCAAAAAAAGTGACAATTATGCATATTAATTTTTATTTGAAATGAATTGATAATTTTTAAAGCTTTCTTAGCTTACCAGTACATTAACTATTGATAGGTATAATTCATATAAACAAAAGATCTTCAAGAGTCTCAATAGTTTTTAAGAATGTAAAGGGGTCCTAAGATCAAAAAGTTTGAGAATCACTCTTAGGTTGCTTTCTGTCTAACTTTTTGCATTGAATGACCAGTTTATCTTTCATTCTTTTTTAATAATGAACACATTTATTGCTATGAATTTACACAGATCCTCCATTTATAAATACCCTCTAGTTCTGTTTTGTATTTGAGAGATATATACGTTAAAAACCCAAATTGGAGCTAGGCTCAGTGGCTCAGCCTGTAATCCCGCGCCTTTGGGAGGCTGAGGTGAGTGGATTGCCTGAGTCCACGGGTTCGAGACCCGCCTGGGCAACTTGGCGAGACCTCATCTCTACAATAAATCAAAAAATCAGCCGGGTGTGGTAGCGCATGCCTGTAATTCCGGCTACTTGGAAAGCTGAGGCGGAACCATCACCGGATCCCAGCAGGTCGAGGCTGCGGTGGCTGGGAGCGTCCACTGCACTCCAGTCTGGGCGACAGAGTGAGACTCCAACTCAAAAAAAAAAAAAAAAAAAACCCAAATTGGGAAAAATGCTAACTGGTCAGATTTCTGACCACAGCTAACTCTCAGGCCTAATTATAAGACAAGTAGTAGTTGTTAGAACTCTCATTTTACAAAACCGTGTAGCTCTTGAATTTATTCCAGCCAGTAGATAATTCAAAACTGATCTGAGATTTGTCCGACCATATTAAAAAGAAAATCACTTAATTACATCAGATCAAATATTACGACCTGTGGTCCTTGGCTAGTAATGTATTGGGAGAATCTGAAGGGAAAATTACACAAGATATTTAAATAATATTGAAATTCGTGTGTGTGTGTGTGTTTATGATATAGGCATGATTATAAAATAACACTTAAACTCTTATTAAAAATAAACTACAAGTTTAATTTTTGTGCCAAAATGTTGAATAGGTAAAACATTATTTAAACAAAGACAGAAATGGAGACTGCCCTAGCAAAATAAATACTGGACCTAATGCAAATTCGGATTTTAAAAGTTAGGATTGTGAACTATGAGAGAGCAAAATGTGGGGGAAATTACAGGTGGAATCCCTCTTAATTCAAGAAAGAATATCAGGAGTACAGATTAATTCTTTAGGATGATGAATAGCTTTTTTTTTTTTTTTTTTTT